TCCTCACCTCGAATGTGTGAAGAGAATGAGCTCAGAAAGCTAGAGGTACAGTAAAGTGTTTTTGAAACGTATGATTTTTGTCCCCCACCATTAAGATGAGTCTCAGCTGACCTGTATCTGTCAGAAACGCAGGCTCCGTACAGCAGCAGCTGGCCTTTATACTTACTTTCTAGGCAGTAACAAGCGCATGGTTGATATTGCGGTAGCAACAAACAATACACCCTACAAAAGCAACCAGCTGAGAATAAATTTGGCCAACAAACCTTTGAAGATGCTCATATTTCACCGCAAAACTAGTCAGTCAAACCTCATCTATGAGTGCAAAATGCTAAGCAAATAATTATTTGCCTGTGTGCTTGAAACAAATTCTTGTGGTTTTAGATAATGAAAACAAAAAGGAATTGAGACAAGAAAAGCTTTTTTTAACCATTACACATTTGCATGCAGATGTAAACTGCTCACCTCATCTATAATATATGTAGGTTTTCTGCGTGCCTTGGAGGAGGGAGTAGGAATTTGAGTTTCATCTTTTTTCCTATGCTGCCCTAGCCAGAGGGACTCTGTGGCCTTGAAGCACTAATGAAACAATCTGTCCGCCTTCCCCAAGGTAAGCATTAGATCACATTTCTCGCACAAAGGGATGTGACTGACTGACCGGCATATTTATTAACTAGTTAACTATCTCGCTTGCCAGAAGCAGGGCAGAAGCGTAGTTGTTGAGCTGCTGAGACTTAAGTTCACCTTTTTCAGTTCTTAGACCGTTTCTCTGGCTTTATCGCTAGCTTGATTATTTTTTCCACAGTTAACATACCCTTACATCGGTAGCTCCTATTAATATTTTCAGCGGAGCACCGACCAGTCCTATCTCCGTGAACATCCTCAATTTAAGTTCGTACTGCCTGTTACAGTAGTTGACCTACCACGTCAGTAGGGCTGATTTCCCCTGGCAGCCCTTACTGTAGGGACCAGGGGACAAGCCTGCCCACCCGCTTCCCCTCTTCACAAAGCAGAAATCATAGAATCATAGAATCGTTTAGGTCGGAAAAGACCTTTAAGATCATCCAGTCCAACCATTAACCTACACTACCAAGTCCACTCGAAACCAATCAAGGGTAGACTAGAAATGTCACACCGACTTGCAAAGCTTCTCATGGTTTGAAAGCATGCATGTTCCACCTACCAAATGAACATGTTGGGGGTCCCACCCCCCAAACGAACATCATACTACAGTCACGTTTCAAGCAGCTTTAAGGTTCGAGCTAGGCAGAGGACACAGGTCATCCTGTTAATGCTGCTTTGGAGGTTTTGCTGAGAGCCCTGCAGGGAAGGAAGGCTCCTATGCCCCCCAGCACCGCTGCGGTCCAGCTCCGGGGCTGCAGCTGGAACAAGGAGAGGCATCTGCCAGCCTTCCTCCCCGCTGGTGGGGCGGCCATGCCCCTGCCCTGCATGATGCCCAGGGAGCGTGGGGTCTCCACTGAGGCGCTCCCGAACTGCCCAAAGATCCCCTTTCTCAGAGCAAGGCTGATGGCTGTTTATTTCATGAGGGATGCTAAAAAAGGCAGTTCTGACCGTGCTTGGAAGGGAACGAGTTTGATGTAGGCATGCACCCAGCAATCTCACTGTTTTGAAGTTAAATATTATATCTGATACCAGACACACTGCCACAAAAGTCTTGCCTATTTCAACAGTTTGTATGTAACTCGTCCACCAAAAGTATCTGGAGGAAGTCCTGACAAGAAAAAAAAATTAGAATAAAATAAACAAAATTACCTCTGGACTGAATGTGGTTGTACTGGAGGAACTCTGTGGACAGGCTTCCCTTTTCCCGCTGTCTTGCACTTATTTATGAAACAGTTGGAAATAAGGGTCACAGAAGCAGTACAATTTGATGCACTGTAATGGAGTATTTTGAGATATTTCATTAAATAAAATCATAAAACCTGAACTGCTGCAACCTGCCTGCACTTGTACCTTTCTAAAGAGAAAGTATCACTTTTAAAGGAAATTAAGTTCTGGGCAGCTTTTTCACATTCTATATGAAGACATAGCAAATAACTTTCTTTTTCTTTTTCAAAGCAACTTGTAACTACAATCTTTATAAAGACAAATATAAAAACAGATCATGTATTGCACAGTGTATTTTTAGCCATCTTAGATGGTAACTGGTTCTATGAATGGGAATAAGAATGCTTTGTTCATAGGGCTGGATGGTCACAGATTTATTTTGCAAAGTCAGATAACAGTATGAAGATAACCTAACAGTCTAACAAATTTTTTTTGGTCACAATATTGCAGCTGAAGGTTTTCAACTATTTGAACTGGAAAATATATTCCTTTTTTTTTATGCTGTTGAGGAGTCACACTAGCCCAAATACATGCCTCCCCCCTAGCCTTATGAAAATCAACTAAACTAGCAGTGCTCTCCCAGGTTGGGGTGCCCCGGTTGGAAATGGGCTCTTCTGGTCCTGGCTTCACCCTCTCCTCTCTACCAGAAACCTTCCCTAAGTGGGGCTGGGCAGCAGCTCAGCCTCTGCCCCAGCCCCAGGGATACCCGAAGGCAGTGGGAGGGCTCAGGCTGACCTGTCGCTGGTGGGACACAGCCAGGTAGCTTCAAGCCCATGGCAGAAAGAGGTCCTGGCTCAAATCCCTGGAGATTTAGCAGCAACTACTCCAGCAACATTGCTCATGCTGCAAAAGATCAGAGCTGTGAGAATTAGAAGGAAGTTTCCCCCTTTTCTTCCAAAAAACTAATATTTTAATCTAAAACATAGGTGGCTTTTAGGTCCTGCACTGAAGATTCATCCCTGAATGCTTGGCCATTGCAAGAAAAGTCCACTGGGAGCTTCAGTGCCCTTGCTATAGTACTCTCTTCACCTCCCGGCTGCTGCGAGTTTTGCTTTTGCTGTATCAAAACTGAGATATGACGAGATTTGGTACTCTGAAATCGGAAAGCGTTTACCATAAAGAAGAATGTTCTGTTTACATGCACATACATATGTGCATTTTCTTTTCTGATTTGTAGAAGGGGATACAGTTGCTGAGCTCTTACAGAAACAGACACTACCTACCCACCTTTTTTTTTTTTTTTAAAGCAACTGCCTTTTTCTTCCTGCTCCCCATATGTAGTCACTAATGAAACAAAAATATATTTAAACCAGAAACGTATTCTGTTAGAATGTTTTGAATAGTCTCTAGAGCTAGACAGATTTTAACATATTTTTTTTATTAAATATGTAAAAAGATAAACGCAAGTCAAGTTATTCACATATTCAGACAAAAATCTACTCTACCATGCGACAATTTGTGGATAATGTAAAATGACTGATACATCTGAATAAGACTTTTTGTATCTATTATGCCATTACTTATCGGTTTATAATTAACAATACATATGTTTACATTCCTTTCAGTTTACATTTAATATATAACCAAAGATTTATGGTGTGCTATTTAGTAAAGGTAATTACAAATGCATATTAAAACCATAACGGAATAATGGGTTACTCACAGGGGGTGGGGGAGAGGGGCAAC